TGAAATAAACATAAAATAATAATGAATATACATAAAGTTAATAGAAATAAAAACATATTGTATAGTTTATTTTTATTCTCATTGTATTTTATCATTAATTTTGGAAATCTCTTAAAAACACTGTGATGTCATTTTGTAATTTTACACCTTAAAATACATTTAATTTACATTATATTTTATATTTTCTATACACCTAATACTTGTATGAACAATGTCAAATTTGTAGCTATAAGATGTAGTTAATATATATATGTACAAAATGGATTTTTTTTTTTTGCCCTTAAAATATATTTCAAAATATATAAATATAAAACGTAAATTTCTGAACCAATCAAACTAACCAATATTCCAGTTTCATCTTTCCCATACAAGTGTTACTCCAACTTAATCATTCCCAGGAAAATTTCACTTAATCAGTTCGTCAATTTACCTTACCCTTATCCGCATTCACTCTGTTTGGACAATCTTGTTTCTTGCTTAAGTATGTTTTTTTAGAATCATTATCGCTCTAATATCAATTGTATATCAATATACGTATGGCTCAGTAACTGTTTCTACCAAAATGTATATCATATGTGGCCTACTCATATGTGGTAAGTAGGTAACACCAAATCGTTGTTCATATGTATTAATAATAGATTGTTATTTCTCTTTATATAATATGGGAATATCCGGTGGAGCGAGGTCCAACCGACTAATTTTCTGAAGACATTTTTGTCAATGCTAGACCGACCCAATTGCTTACGATGGAAATTAAATATTTATAATGTTGACCACACAAACAGGTAAAACTGAATTTGGTAGATTTTGAATCCGGAATTCTTATCACCTTTGCAAGCTCGCGTACCACACGACCACACTTGTGTGATTAGATTTGTTATTTTTCTGTTACTGGTATAAGTCGTGAAATATATATATACATCATGGATTATTGATTGTTATTCTCATAGTTTCTTTTTTTTTTAAATTGTTTCATTGTTTGGAAAGCAAATTAAACTTGTTTACTGTTTCAAAGTTTTCTGTCAAACCGACAATAAAATTGGCAAAAGGAAACAATAATTGGTCTTTATTACAAATCAGTTTAACGTACATTCTTTATAATATATCCAAATTCCAACTCATATAACCACTGGATCGACGTTCGATCACGATTATTTTTTATTACAGCATATGTGATAATTACGAATACACATCTGTAACGTTTGATTAGATATATGAAAGCATCTCAAATCAATAATAAGTCTAAAAATGCCAAGTTGATCAATGATAAGTCCGAAAATGCCAAATTTGATCACGGTAGAATTCATGCTTTATATGAGATTTATAAGTGGAGTACTAGATTTTGATCCGTGCTTTTAAAAATGTGAAATTTTATTTGTTTAGAAAAACTAAATTTCAGAGATTCTGCTCATTCCATTACAGAATCCTCATCCTCTCACCGGCGTTTCGTGTCTTCAACTCTTGTGGCTGAAGAATTGACGGTTAAAGTTGCAGTATTGTCTGCAGTTTCTTCTCATGTTTGCAGTCTCACTGTGAACTCTGACTCAAAAGAACCTTATTTTGCTCTTGAAGACTCAAGGTCAGGATGTGGCTCTGCGAGGGGTGCTCCATGACATTCATGTCCTGTCTCGCTCCCTCATCTCTATCTCTTTTAAGTTTGTCCCGCATTTAGCTAATACTCAAGCTGACTTTCTTGCAAAAGCAGCTTTGTTATCTCTGTCTTCCCCTGCATCGGATGTTGATGTAAACTAAAACTCTGTTCTGTTTTAATCAATCATTATTTTACCCCAAAAAAAAAAAGAAGAACTAAATTTCAAAAGTTTATAATTACTTATAAATGTGTAATTTTTAGTATTTTAAATCTATTTATATTTTCAAACTATATGTATGATGAGTTTTTAAGAAAAAAGAGTAAAAGGAATTGTTGAGTCAGAAAATTGGTTTTAGTCTAAAACTAATAGATAATTTTTAAGTATTTGGGTTTTCACTTGTATCTCTAATTTACGTACGTATTTGTTGAATCAGAAAATTTGTTCATGCTTTATATGAGATTTAAGTATAGACAAGATTTTGATTTGCGCTTTAAAAACGCGGGATAAGTTTTTGGTTAATTTTTCTAATTTAGGAATTACTATAATTTGTTTTTTTTCTTAATTTTAATATTTGAATTTTGACGTCTATGATTAAAAGTAATTTATATTGTTATCTTATAGTAATTTGGGTTGGAAATTTTGGTCCCGTTACATTTTTCGGATCGGTTTAGTGTGAGTAATGTTAGATAGGGTTTGTATTTATATTTTTTTGAGTTATTTGGGTTTGGATGTTTAGGACCGTGTAAGAACCAAACATTTTCCGGATCATTTCAAGTAATATCAGATTCGGTTTGCATTTATATTTTTTTTTTCTAAAACCTGAAATGAAACCGAATTATAAATAGTTTGAGTCATGTTAAAGCCATAAATCTCAAAAAACTTTGAAAATTTGAATTAACCCCGAATATCCAAAAAGGTAGTTTAGGTAATTAAGGGTTTTGCATATTATAATATATTAATTATGTTATATATTATGATAATTAATATCTTTATTATATTTCGAAATGCTTGTTCGGTTATCGGTGCGGTTCTGATTTTAGTTTTGATTTTCGGGTTTGAGAAATAGTAACTGTTTGGGTTTTTCAAAATTTTGGTATGGTTTTGGTTTTTTTTTTTTGTATTGGTTCGAGTTTGATTTTTTTAGTTGGATAATATTTTCAAGACTAATTTTCTCGTTAGTTTTATTATCTGTGTTTTAATACTCATCTTACTAAAATATTCGTTCTTATTTTTAACCTCAAAATATTTTATAATATCACCTTTGTGCTATTATATCTTTAAAGGATTTCCTCCCTCATTTAAATTGATTCGACAAAATTATTTAGGGGGTTTTGCAAAACCAACATAAAAATTCAAGTCAAACACAAAACCAACCTTTTTTTTTTGTCATTACTATTAACCATTAAAAAGACCAAACCCTCCTCATGTTTTCAACTATTTACAAAATTGCCATTTTTATAAAATATTTTATTAATTTCGAAAATGCCAAAAAACCTATTACACCCTAAACATTTCTCCTTATTTACAACAATGTCATTATCATCAATATCTCCAACCAACATGAACCACCATTGATGAGCTCTTAAAGCTCAAGATATGAATTGTCAACCACTTATTTCACTTTCTAAACCAACAATACTTCATTTCCTCTCTATTTTCATCTAAACAATCCTCATAACTCTCATTTTTATAAACACAAACTTCATAGTTTCGATTATATTCACAAGTGAATCGTAAAAGGTGCTTCTTTTGCTCATATTTGGATTCTGGACGGTGGAAAAGCTTGGTAACAAGCTTTAAACCGGTGTCAAGGTAACTATTTACATGTTTTTGGTCATATCTCTGATATGTATCGCGAAAGTAGACTGTATTATATGTCTACACTTACGTGTAGACTTACGATGCAGTCTACTTGTCAACGCACAGGTTACTTTTGCAATTGACCAAAATAATGTTTTTTGTAATGTAGACCTACAAGTACGTCAACGTCTTTACCTTTGAAACCAAAAACAAAAAATTTGGTAGACTTACTAAGAAATCTACATAAAAGAAGTTAGATTTGCATTTGAACAAAATTTTGACTTACCATAGTAGACTTTCTTGGAAGTCTACACTTTGTAGACTGCTAGGGAAGTCTACGGAAGGTCAGTTTTGCATTTGACCAAAACTTTGACTTCGTTGAATAGGTTTCTTTTGCATTTGACTAAAATATTTAGAAAATGACTAAAACTTACTTTACGTGTAGACTTCATATGCATTCTACAAATCTTAGGAAAAAAAATAGACTGCATATGAAGTCTACTATTTTATGTTGGTCAATTGCAAAACTAACATGTGGGGTTATAGTGTAGACTTTTACTTCAGTCTACAGTTACGTAGACATTTAGTTTTGTCTACTAGTAGAAAGTCAACTTTGGTCAATTGCAAAACTAACATCTTTCAAAGAAAATTTGAAAATGTAAACAGCATAGTAAGTCTACTTCTAAAAGTCAATCTCTGAACGAATTCTGGTCAATTGCAAAACTAACCTTTTTAAAAATGTAGACTAAAAAATAAGTCTACTCGTATAAAATCACATCTTTTTCAAATACAGAAAGTAATCCGTGAATTTGGCAATTGCAAAAACCAACCTAAACGTAGACCTAATTTGCAGTCTACAAAATGCAAACTGAATAAAACGTCTACCCGTCTGTAGACTGAATATGTAGTCTACCTAGAAAAATCTATCAAAAGTGGATTTGTGTATTATTCATTAAGTTTTTTCAATTTTTTTTTTATGAAAGTGTGTGTTAGTTAATCATAAGGGTCTTGAATGATTTTCAGAAGATAATCTGTTATAATTAGGAAGTTATCAATTTTTTTGTTTGTCTATGTTGTTAGCTTAAAATTTGTAGACGTACTTGTAAGTCTATGATATAATTTTATCAAACATGAAATTTTGGTTTGCTAATTATGTAAACCGTATTGTTTTGCAGGAAATGGTTCAACTACCTGTTGTATACGGAAAATGGGTGGTAAAAGACTCTTTGTGGGAGTTTGAGGTCGATAATCGGAAAGGAGTGAGAATGTTCCTTGTTTAGCTTCATAACAGCATAACAACATCCTAAAAATTACAACACTTTCTCTAACGGTTTACAAGAAAATGTAAATTCGTTCTGTTTGGTTTATATATTTGATATTAACTCATGCTACATTGAGTTCATAAATAATAAAACTCCAGTTTACATAGCATTAATAAATAACCATCAGTCTGATCTTATGGGACAGTTGAAATTATTATATGAAGACTGCTTCAACAAAACTCTTATCCAAGAAAACTCTATTCCTCAAAATATCAACAAAACCATTACATAACAAAAGTATATTTTTTTGTATACACATAGTCGAAAGCCAGTATCTCCACATGAGCTAGACAAGCAAATCAGCATAAGCATTGAGTCCATGGCTGTTCATGTTCTGCTTAAGCCTATACAATGCTCGGCTCTCTCCTATCTCAGACAACGATCTCTGCTTCCCACCATCAATCCCAAACCTCAGCTTGATGATCTTCCTCTCCTTGAGACTCAGCACATTGAGTAGATTCCTTACATGGTTCCTCATCATTTGCTTCCCTACGCTCATGTCCGGTGTCTCAATCCCACTGTCTGGTGTCACTTCTTGTAAATGGATTATTACCATGTAATGCTCTTGGTCAGAAGTCACATTTACAAAGTTAAAAGTGTTACCTAAAAGGTGATGTCTTGATCAGGCCAAATGGGTTGTTACATTGATAGAGGTGTTCTTGTATTGTACAGAAGTTTATCAAGCTTCTTTGTTGAGACACCAACGTGGCTTGCGAGTTCTTCTTTGCTTGGACGGTAGCAATGTGTTTGTTTGAGAGCTAACCTGCAATAAGTCCTGAAAGCTGAGTCCACGATTCTGATACTGTTTAGCTATATGAACTACCAGACACAAGTTTGCAGTGATCAGCTTCTCCCTGCTGCTTCTGCCACGGTGGATTTCAGATTTCAAAACAGGTCCACTTAACCCCAGAGCTTCAGCCCATTCAGCTATTGTTGGCTCACATCCATTTGGAGATTCAAGCTTAGTCTTCACCTTCTCCAACTTTATCAAATGCTGATATATCAAAAGAAGATGGAAGTTAGAATCAAAAGGAAGATCAAAGAAGAAAGGGGAAGGAAGCATGAAACAAGTCAAAGTATTCAATCAAGAAACTTTTACATAACTCAAGAAAGCATTTCAGAGAAAATAAGTGATCCTGAATAGAGTAGCACAAGTCTATAAGGTGTCTACGAGGGAAGCTATCAAAACATCTAAAAACTAAGATAGAACCTACAACCAGAATAAGGAGTAAAACAAGCTTAAGCTAACCCAATGCATCCAACTATATAATAAAAAATTAGTGTTTCTCTATACAGAATCTAAGACAATGCATCCAAAAATATAAATGAACAATCAATGTTTCTCTAAACAGAATCTGAAACCTAAAATAAACAATACACAAATCCAAATTTTAATAGATTTTTCTATGTAGATTGTATATTCTGTCTAAATTAATGTAGACCTATAAGACAGTCTAAAAATCCATAGTCTGCAGTAAAAGTCCACAAATCCGTAGTCTGCAGTAAAATTCTAGGAGCAACCTACAACAAAAAGAGCCAGAGAAATCAATAAAACACAACACATGCTTGTACACTACAAACATGTATTAACTCATAACACTTCATCAATTTTCGTCAACGACATATGCATTTCAATTTACAGAAAATAAATTGAACATATACAAACCCTAGAACGAAAATTGAACACTTTAATCAAAACAATAAGAGATGCAGAGACTTTTTGTAAACACATATATATAGAGAGAGAGAGAGACAGGGAGGAGAGTAATGGTGATGACGAGGAGGAGATGAGGAGGAGACAAGGCGGAAAGTAATGGTGGAGATGAGGAGGAGACGAGGCAGAGAGCAATGGTGGTGACGAGGAGGAGATGAGGAGGAGACAAGGTGGAGATGGCTGAAGGATGGGAGAGGATAGTGGTGATGGTCGTGGTGGTGAATGGTGATTCCGAGAGGAAGGTGGCTGGGTGTGAAAACGGAGTCGAAGAGGGTTCGCCGGAAATCTCACCGGAAATCGCCCCCTAAACCATCTCAGATCTAAACGGCGTGATTAGGATTTTTTTTACCAGAAAACCCTAAAAAGTATTTATATACTGTGTAATTTTTTCGGTTAGGTTATATTGGTTAATGTAGACTGAAATAAACGTCTACATATAAGTAGACATTATTGTAAGTCTACTATACCCTAAATATTGGCGCCAATATGGAAAAATAGGCTCAAAAATTCATTTTCACTTTCCGCTTAGTTAATTTTAATTTTAAAATAATTTATTTTGGTAAACACAAATTAACGTAGACTGAAATAGACGTCTACATATAAGTAGACTTTACTGTAAATCTACTATACCCTAAATATTGGCGCCAATATGGAAAAATAGGCTCCAAAATTCATTTTCACTTCCCGCTTAGTTAATTTTAATTTTAAAATAATTTATTTTGGTAAACACAAACTATCGTAGACTGAAATAGACGTCTACATATAAGTAGACTTAACTGTAAGTCTACTATACCCTAAACCAGAAATCTCAAACCCTAAACCCCAAATCTCAAACCCTAAACGTTTGATTGATTATAAAACAAATCTTAGTCATTGTACCAAATATCATATATATACAAAATATAAACTACTCAACATTAAATATGCAATTTTGAATCATTAAAACAAAATAATTCTAAATCTAGAATCTAACCCTAAGAATCTAACTCTAAAGACATTACATGTTAGAACCTTTGGTTGCTAAACCATTAACATTGTCTACCACATAGTTCCCAAATCAATATACATTCTTTTAAATTGTTCAATTATAAGAAAATTTAATTTATCTACCTCATACTAACCTTTAAATTGATGATTTAATAAAAAACTTACCAAAAACATTTTTTCTACATTTTTAAAATTAAATTATTTGATTAAATTAAGATGTAGACTAAATAATAAGTCTACATTAGTTTACACAGTAGACGTTAATGTAAGTCTACCTAGTTGTAGACTTCTTTTTTAAAGTGTAGACCTACGAAGGACATAATCGTAAAATATATTCCACGTTTTTTGTTTGTTCATAAGGGTTAAATAGTAGTTTTAACACCCATTTAGGTTGGGTTTGCAATTGATTGAATATGGGGGTACACCTTTAGGGTTAAAATGAATATTTGGGTTGGTTTTGGCAATTCCCCCAATTATTTACCCCAAATATCAGACTTAATTTGTAGAAATTATAGTTTCATAATTTGTTATATAAAATTAAATAGTAGTTGTCAAAAATAATAATGACACTATTGTAAATTCTTAGCAAATTAAACAATGGAACTCGTTTTGCATTGGTCAAAATTCATTTTTAACTTTAGAACTGAATAGGTTAAACCATTCTTCATTGAATTTATTAATGAAATATTTTGTTTATTTAATGAAAAACGATAGAAACTGCAGTCGTAAAATATTGGTTGTAACCAGGTCTTTTATACAAAAAATGTTATAATTATTATTCTTTTAATTTTTATGAATTTAAGTATATATTAATAATTTTTAATATCTTAATTTAACATTTAATTTATAATTAAAAATTAATGAATATCTACTGGAATATTTACTTTTATAATATTCAGCTTTTAAAATGCTAAGGTATGAAATAAACTTCAGCAACCTCAAATATATTTATAGCGTATGAGAAAATGGAAGATTAATTAGAAATTAATATGTTAAAACTTACTGATGATATTATAATTGTATAGACCTAAAACTTTGGACGTATGAAAAAATATATATTAGAAGGATAAACGTTTCTCCGATTCTCCCAAACAAACTCAAAATGATTTATTTAATTTTCTTTATTTTGAATACAAAAAAGTTATTTATTATTAAATAAACACATAATATTAACACAATATATTTTTTCAAAATAAGATATCAAAACGATATTATTAACTATTTTTCTAAGATCACATTTTAACAATATCTTTTAATATCTTTTTATTTAAAATATAAATATTTATTGGTTTTATATTATTTTAATAATAAAAATTGTAAATAATATTAAATTTAATTACAAATGAATACTAAGTCATTTTAATTTATAAAATAAGAAATAACCTTCTATAATATTTGTATATAAATAATTCATATTTCTAATTAAAAGTAACACAAAATACTACTGTAAAATGAGATAGCTGTAAATCTTTTTAAAAAGAAGGACACCTAAAATCTTTGATATATATTTTAATTTATATAACCATGAAAAAAAAATATATTTAAAGTATAACTACACATGGTAAAATATCAAAAGTTAAAATTAAACTTAATTAGAAGATGATTTGATATGAGTTACCAAAAAATATATTTAAATAAAAGCATAGCCTAAAATATCTCAGTGGAAAGAAATTGTAAATATTGTTGAAACAGGAGGGCATTTTGAAAGCGCGAGTTTTGTTCCTTCGCAAAATCAAATTCAAAAATAATATTAACAACATTAATTTATACAATATTTTGAAAAATGAACGAATTAGATTAGCTAGATCGGACCAATCACATCTGTTATTTAAGAAAATCCAAGTTGGGCTAATAATAAGATTTGAATTAAACCATCCAAACCAGTTAAAAATGTTATGATGACACAGCTCTATCATAACACCTAGTTCAACTAAATACAAAACATAATTGGTTTAATTTGGATAGATAAATAATGTGAAGAACTAAAATTTCTTTGGACTGCATACATAAATACTTTGAAGTTTCTTTACTAAGTAATGGACCTATGATTTAAGGGAACTTAATTTTCTATATCTTGCAGATTTAATTTTATTTATAAACAGTGAATTTAATTATATTGATTGTTAGCACAATTTATTCATTTTATATTTAACTTTTGATACATGCAAATCTGTAACTAAATTTAATGAAAATTGTGTAAGGTCTTCAATCGATTTTTAAATAAATGAAGTTTCTGTATTTGAAAGAAATTTTTGATATTCCCCTTTTTGCCATGAAAATATATTTTAAAAATGAATAGAAGATATATAAATTTGATTTGGTAACTGAAATTGAAATGGTTTGCTCGTTTATTAGAATTTTGGTATGATAATTATGAAAAAATATGGTTAGCATAAAGTAAATCTTGTAATCCAATAACAAAACAGATTTTGTTTCAGATATTAGGTGAAAAAAATATTGTAACTAACAAATATTGTTAGTTTAAAACCTTAACTTCCAAATATTTGTAACTAACATATATTACTATTTATTAAAATTTATCAGAGGGTTTGGAGATATGTTTTATTGTTTAGAATTTAGTTTAGAGTTTTTATTTATGATTTATAATTTATATTCGAACGGAATAATAATTATTCATATTTGTTTAATTATACTAACATTTATTGTTATATTAAAACTCTACATTGAAAAGCACTACTCAAAAATAACTTGTTAGGTAAAGAACATTCTACTTTTAATGTAAAAGTGAGAAATAACATTTGAACTTTAAAATTTCAGTTTGATGTCTATAAAAGATATTTTAATTATTTTACATATCTTATTATACTTACATAATAATATTATGGTGCGGGATTATGTTTAAATGTTTTATATTTTAGTGTAGTTAAATTTTCTAATCTTGAATTGTGCTTTTTAATAAGTTATGAGTAAAATTATGCAAGATAATTTTGTTTTCTAGATAAATGAAATATTATTTTAAAAATAAGGTAAGATACTATTTCATGAAAATATAGTGGGTCAAAAAATATAATTGTCACAATCTATTTTATATTAGAAAAGTTTAAGAAATTACCAGTACGGAATCTCGTCTTAAGTTAACCACTTGATATCTTCTCGTAAATCACCCATAAGAGGAACATCTCTAATGCTACAAAAACCTGCAAAGCCTAGATACACATGAAGTTAGTTTAACTAAAGACTAATAAAGAAAATACCCATATAATACTAAAACATGATCATATCCCATAACATAAACTTTACTCTATTTTTTTCTTTTCTACAACAATGCTCGACTTTGATTTCACCCGTATCGAGGATGTCGCCATTTACATTTGTAAACAAAGAGAGTTAGATAAGGTGAG